TATGTCGCAAATGATTCAAATCTACTCATGTTATAAATCACATTACGTAATGACACTCATTAGCTTATTTGATTTTTATCCCAGCCATAGGAACCTTGTTGAAATTGAAAGGGGTATATTTTTAGGAGAGATTGATTTTTTGGAACAAAAATAGTTCATTGTGAAGAGTTTATTTTGAAATTAATTACTCTCTTTCTTCATTTGGAAGATTCCCACATTATTTTTGCATAAAGATGGAGAGGTAGAAAGCCAAAACTTTTCTTTCCCAAAAAAAAATTGTTAAAATTGTTGCAGTAACTGAAAGTAATCGAAGATAAAAAAATTACGCTTAATCACAATCGATTGTGAAACATTTTAATTCCATTGATTGGTATTTTCAAAAAATCAACAATAAAGCTCCATTTCTTTTCATCTAAATGACTAGATATTATTCAGCTTTCTCATATTTACTGATATTCATTTCCAAGTTTTTCGAATAATGATATTGCTTTTCTGAATTTGTTTAGTCTGTTAGGACAAAAATTTCACTTTTAATTTGAAAGATAACCTACCTTGATTCAGTTTGATGAGAATTGGTATCGTATTCATCCAAATAGTTTTCTAATCACGATATTATATTTGAATAATTTTTCAACATTGAAATGGACACGGTATGCTTAATGTAGACATTTGCCAACGCGGACTTCTCTGTAGACCTATCAAAGAAGAACAATATGCACACAAACTCTTAATAAATTATACACGTAAAACTTTTTGTTCCATCACTCCGTCTATTGATGAAAACCGAATGAATATCCGTTCGTTGGTATTTGAAATTATCGCGTTTAGTCAGACAGACAGAACCGGCAGTGATGCTTTTTAAAACAGGATCTTATTTATCGAAAATATTCAATGCGATGATGAAATTTATAAAATTCAAACGATTGTATAATCATTATATAATTTTAATATAATATCAAGTTGAACGTTTTAATGGAGATCGTAGGTTGATCCTTTACACACGAAATTGTGTTGAAAGTAAAATTTTGATATCCATAATGACATATTTCATTTCCAGATTCGAAAATTATGGGATTGCATTCATTTTGATCGATTGAGCTTGGGATATATTTTGAGGTGATTTTGAGAAAGAGAAAACGATAATATAAACTCAAAACAAATAGTTCCAAAATCAAAATGTTTGGATTTATATGACATCATCTGAAAAATGTTGACTGCGCTTGTCAGGAGTATACCGATTTATGTTCATTTTTGACGGTTGAACAGATCTAGTTAAATTGAAAGTAATACCATAAGACCTCAAAATTTTATCGATAAATTTCCATTTTCAACTAAAACTTTGTTATTTGGCAATAACATGAGGTTGGACAAGTGGTTAGCACTATTGCTTGTTGCTCGATTGGTTTTGCTCGAAAATAACAAAATTCACAAATTTTGAGTTTGAAAAATTGCCATTTTTTCAGAAAATGTTAAGGTTGAGTGGTATTCGCAAAGTCAATTTTCTGAAATATTCTCAGCTGAACGAAATATCAATTCTCAAAATGAACCAATTCTATCATCTGAATAACTAGAAATTTCAACAAAAACATTTGTTTGAAAGTACAATTATTGAAGATACAATGTTCGAACTGGGAACAAAGTACCTACGTACATAAATGAACTCGAATTTCTCAACAATAGAATTTCATTGTTGAAATATATTGTGCCTTGACATGACACCGTAAAGCCGGCACCCGAGTCACCCGACTTTCTTGCCGTTGCTAGATGCATTCAGTGTACGGTGCGAATTATTTTCGATTTCAGTAAAAATGCCACTCTCAGAATAATGTTTCACTTCGAATTGAACATGTCTAATTATACCAATAAGTGTCGATTAGGATATTGAGATTTCTAGTTTGTGAACCAGTGAAGTGTGGCAATTAGTTTTTCATTTCGGTCGTTTGTATTTGTTCTATGTACTGGTGTTTCATTTGATTTCATATTAATTTGAGTTGCTCCAGTAGAGTTAGGGTCCTGTCACAGTCATAATGATAATATTAAAAATAACTTGTGAGTTTCTTTAGGAGCATTAATGCGAAATGTTATCATTTAGTTACAATCGTATTTGAATATTTGATTCTATTGTTTCAATTTGATTAGGACAGTGGCAGTGATTGAAATTGTGAGAATGATTAATAACTAGACCTTGAGGGTTTCGTATGATTCAAGAATAATTACACCTAGATGTTAATTTCATGACTGTCAATTTAATTGCTGTTGAAGAGAAGCGATTCATCGCTCTAAAACTCGATTTGGTTTGCCAGCATTCAAATTTCCCATCATTTTATGGGTTTGAAGAGAATAATCGACATAAAACTCTGTAAGTTCGTTTTTTGCATTAAGTAAAAATAGTTTTAAAGAAATTACTATGATTTTACTGTTTTTGTATATTTGGGATAAAGAATTTCCAACTGAGCACAATATATTTTGTCTTGGAGCGTGGCTAACAGTTGTATGTGAGAAGGATATCTGTTCTGAAGGATATGGATATGTTGTTTTTGCGAATTGTTATTACTTTGGATAAATTATTGAGCCAAATATTGAGCCAAAGTTTATAGATCATTTGGAAACTGGTTCAGGTTAGATAAAGTTTACTTTCAAACAAATAATAGTCTCGTGGAGTTGAATAATCCAAACATTCAATATTTGGGTTGGTTTTGTGGAGAATATGAACACGCCTGGCTTGATTCCAAATCTGCAGAGTTTCAATAGCTTTTCCTGCGGTATGTGCATTCGATATTAAATCTCGGAATTCTAAGTCCATATCAAACATAAGGCGATGTTCCACATTTCATTGAAGGATTTCATGAAATGTAGTAGTTTCATGTTTTCATCTCACTGGAATTATTAAAAGATATTTCTCTAAAAGGAAATTTCCACATGTAGACTTGTTCAATTGGAGTTTGGTTGAATTATAATTCAAACCAGTAAAGTAACATACGTTTTTTAAAAATTGAAGTCAAAAAAGAAAGAGATTGGACGGAATAGCACTCTAGAAAATGGAGGGCCAAACCGCAGACACGTGTTTCTCGCTATTGGCCTTATCAGCGCTGTGTAGCCAAGTGCAAAGATGAGCAACATTTGGTTGCCAAAAACAGGAAAATAACACATGCGAACCAGAGTCACCAAAGAAGCCTACCTACCTCACATTTGTGGTTCCAATTGAGACACCTAGAATTGTTAAAATGTCCTAACATTATCATGAAGGCAGCCACAGCTACCTGCGTGACTTCCGGGTCCAGGATATAAATATAGAAAACCTTTTTTCTGAAATGAAAAAGGAAAGAGATTGGACGAACTAGCACTCTAGAAAATGAAGGGACAATCTGCGGATACGTGTTGCCAAAAACGTGAAAACAAGACATGCGAAATGAAGTAACCAACTGCAGCCTACCTCACATTTGTGGTTCCAGTTGAGACACCTAGCATTGCTATGATATCCTAACATTATATTTATCAAAAAAAGGTTTTGTCAAGTGTTTATGAATAAAATCAAAAAAAGAAGATATTGGAGGGAAAAACACTCTAGAAAATGGAGTGGCAAACCGCAGTGTTTCTGTTTAGGACACCTAGAATTGCTAGGATGTCCTAACATTGCGGAGACAGCTACAGCTACCTATTGAGACCCTTGCGAAGACCAATGATGCGACCTAAGGAATAGGCACTAAGTGGGTAGATTGACACCCTGGCGTCAAGTCACCAAACCCTTAAAGCGTGAGTTGAAATCTTCTCCACACGGTTACTGTGTGCAGAACATCCCATCTCGTCCATCCGCCACCGCTCCTCTGGAGCGGTCCTCAACTTACTGATGGGCACTTCAGCAAGATTGATATCTGACCTCTTCTAGTAGAAAGTCAGCCTTTAGGTGCTTTTGCTTACTAATCTGTTATTTGCTTTTATCTTGGCTTTCCTAACTAATTTTTTGCATGGGATACCCAAAAACTAACCGGAGACGAATGTCTTTTATCGCGAGCATTTTTGTTTCTCAGTGAATCTGAAAATGAGATGAATTAGAAATCTGATTGAGAAATGTTTATACTTACCGGAGCCGCCTGACAGCGACTCTCGGGGGGTGGTTTCTGGTTTTTCTTCGTTGGCCTCCTGTGTTTGTCTCTCTCCCGGAATCTGGGGTCGTCCCTGTTCAGTGCGTTGTGTAGATCGCTTAGCGCCCTTTTGACGTGCGCTCGAATTCTGTCCAATGTGTCCTATGCGTCTCACTATCTGAGGAGTAGACAGATTGGAACCTCGACGTAGTCATCTTTTCATTAAAATGACTTCAAAATCGAAGCCGAAACCTTGAAAACTGAAAATACTTTAGATTATCGGATTGCTGACCATGAAAATTTTATTTGTATGTGACTTGCATAAAGTTAATAATTTTAAGTTTTTCTCACTAAATGGTAGACAAAACTGTCGAAAAAGTATGCATGTACTAATAGTTTTCTTTTGCGTTAATAACTAAGTACTTATACATTCATATATTTACCTAAATCACCTTCAAAAAAAAAATTTTCATGGATTACAGAGAAAAATTTGGTTGAGTGGTTATAATCCTCAAGTAGTGTATGTCCAACCTCCCCAAAAAATGCAAGCTCTACTTAGGTATATATTATACAGAATTCACGCACGCTTTCTTATATGTCTTATATGAAAGAAACATTTTGAGATGGGTAGTAAACTTTTTCAGAGAATTTTGCTTCATCAAAACGGTCGATATAGCACACGAGATATGCAACACCATTCTTGACGCGGATTTTACAAGTCAAGACGGCATCATAAGGAGTCATGAACTTTACTTTACAGTATAGTTATGTAGCTTATATGTGGTAGCAGTGTTTTGTTAGATTTATTCAACAACAGAGGTTTGTGTTACACTTTTCAATCGATTCCCAAAAAACAAATTCACTTATTGTATTCCCTGATTATGATGTACAAAATCTGAAGAGTGTTTTTTGTTGCAGAACATCGCTATTTATAGTCATGAGTTTCGTCTACGCTAAACTCTTGGTTGTGATATGTATTGCCTACGTCATATCCGATGCTGTTACCCACAATATTCCCCTCTTCTATTACGAAGGATTCTTCACCTATCTTTACGGAATGAGCATTTTCTTCTTGCTTTACGTATTCTGCTTCTTACTGCAGGAGAGTTCTTGTTGCTCGGGAGGAGAAAAAGGTGCGAAACCACCGTCTAAATCAAAAAAGAAAGAGAAGGAAAAAGAGAAAATGAAGGAAAAAGAAAAGGGAAAAGTCAAGGCCAAGGACAAGGAGAAGAAAGAAGAGGAGAAGAAGAAGAAAGAGGACGAAAAGCAGACGAAAGAGAAGAAAGAAAAGGAAAAGGATAAGAAGAATAAAAAACAGGAGAAGGTATAACAAATTTATTTTCTTATTTCAACTTGTGCCTGTTCGGATAAATATATATTCGTTGTTTTCTATTTTCAGTGTTTGGTATAAAGTTTGATCTTGAGCCTGCATAAGCATAAATCTTGAAGTCAACAAACGCAAATATTCTTAAGACACAATTCCAATTCACTGTAATCTCATGATAATGCTTTTTCAATCGAATAACTTTTCTTCTGTGTAATGTAATTAGATGACCTTTTTTCCGAAATTTCAAGGGTCTAACCTATAAACTGTTGATTCTTCAGAAACCATAATTTCTTCCGATGGAAATTACTTTCACAGATGGACATTTCCTGAAGTAAAGATATATCTTCATTCAATATAAAAAACATTCTATATTTAGTTTTGGAATGTAATTGCTTCAAATTGTCTGCTACCTCCTAGAAATATATACAATATGAAATGTAAACACAAATTAACTAAAACAAGTATTACTCTGGCTGCCATTCCAAAATAAAAACTCATTAACTTCCTTTCTGTAATCACTTTCACAATTTTTCTCCAACAAATTACCGAAGTATTACTTTTTGCTCAGTATATTCAAACGAATAAACAAAGACACACACCAGGATGTTTTTAACAGATGGACAACAACCTATGAAAAGTGATGTGCATGAACACCAAACACAAAATTAGTTCCCTAAAATAAACGTCAATAGAGTTAATGATGAATTTGGAGGAGTTATTTTAGGCAATTGTAAAATATATTATGCCAATGTTATTGAATCCAGAATCGAGTGTTTGAGAGATATTTACATTATTTAGTATGCACACATAAAAAAGGTATAAGGAACAACAATTCATGTAGCTTTTAAGGGGTGCTTGGTATATAAACTTATTCAAAAAAACATAGTACAGTGTCATCCCCAAAGTACGCACATTAGGGAAAACTTATTTATTGAGGGTTTTTCGACAAAATGTTATTCTTGATAAAAGTTTGTGCATCTCCTAAAACTGAACATGCACCAACAAAATACAGTAAAACACACGTAATATACGAGGAGCCTTCAAATATTTGATTTTGAGACATGAGTAAAGTACTTTTATTTTGAAACATTTCGGGAAATGTTATTCAGAAAAGCTGTTCAGCATTGAGAAAAACATCTAGATTTGAAGTCATGGCCATCTAGGAGAAGTTTTAATTTTTTCACCCATTTTTTTTAATGGGGACTACGAAAAAAAAAATTTGCTACAACGATAAATAGACAGCATCCTGTATTAGACGATTTATATTAAAAGCCTGTACTATGACGAATTGCACAACTATAGTGTTAACCACGGTCAACTTTAAAACTGTTTTAAAAGTTTTAATCTTCCTCTTTGAAGATGATCACTTGGTGATCGAAACACATGTCGAGGTGTTAAAAATAACGATTTGGTGTTGGGAAAAAATTCCAGTAATATTCATTACTACACCAAAGGTTCCAAACAGTGCATCATAAGTAATAAATAATTGTTTGGACAGCAGTTCTATATTGAACCAAGTTTTGATAAGTGTATCTCTGTATAATACCAGTCTCATTCCAAACAAATTTAATTGAAACTAATTACTATTTGAATTCTCCCCTAAATAGGTGTTGTAAATCCTACAATTCTATATCCAAATCAATAGAAATTGACATCTTTTCTAATTCCCTCGCAACCTTCACCACGTCTCTCGAACGTTCATACAGTCACCATTTTCATATCTAAAATTGTTAGAACTGTTCATAACACGATATTGCATATTCTTTATAACAATCGAATCATTTATTTTTATTTTCACCTCATCGTCTGTGAATACTCCTTTCGGGTTTGTCCCGTTTTGTATTCCACTGAAAATAAATAAATAAATGAACGCGGCATAAATTTTCGTTCAAATGGTTGATTGAGCGTACCGTCCCTAACATAGAGGTCTATGTTATCTGTGGTTGAAATTAAGATAACATACTTTTATTTAGATGACTTGTATATGATATTCTTTATATTTTCAGTTTTCGTTGAATTCACTTCATGTATTTTTGATAACAGCTTGATTGTAAACTTAGGGTATTAAGCTTGTCGTCCACTTATCCGGCACAGCACAGCACGGCGCTGTTCGTAGCCTGGTGGCGACGGGTAGTAGCATCGCCCACTTGTTCAGCTACAACCAGTATACTGAAGGTGCTGTTTGTTCGATTTCAAGGAAATTTCCGTTGATATCGAACAGTGACAGAAACATGTCTATCCCTAGCAGGAGGATTTGGGTCCATCCCATTATTCAAAAGAGGACAAATCTGGGACAGTTTCATCATCTTTTCAACGACCTGAAAGAAGACGAGGAGAAATTTTTCCAGTATTTCCGAATGACTCCAGGCAAATTTTCAAAACTTCTGGATATTCTAGAGCCCGCCTTAACAAGCAACTTAAATTTTCCTCGTCCATTTTCATAGGTACCGTCTGACTGTGCTGTCGACTGATGGAATGGCAAAACAGAAATACAGAAACTTCCCAGACACATTTGGACAAGTTGATTCTGGTAAGCGCACAGCACGTACCGTTATTTGCCGGACAGGATTGGAGAGCTGGAATCCTTTCCGGCGTCGGACGCTATTGGCTGTGCCGTGCCGGGCTAGTGGGCGGTTGTCCATTCATTTTCATTGTTCCAATCCTATACGTATTTTGACGGGACGGGCCATGCTGTGCTGTGCCGGACAAGTGGGCGACAAGCTTTAGGCTTCTTTTATGAACGCGACTTTTTTGTAGTATGTCGCGTTGCGACGCGACAGGCGTTATGAATGTATACTGATTCTAATTGCACTTTTATGCATGCCAACACAAATCGTTTCTTAGTTCAGAATATTTATTAGTTTTGTTTGTACAATTACGAACATTGACGTTATTTACATTTGTTTTGGTTCCAATGCAAAGCCTTGTACCAACTGCACATTTATTGTCAGTCTGTTTTTCAATATTTACATGTGTCATCAGAGAAGGACAATGACACGATTATTTTTGAAGAATTTATCTTTGTTTTGCTTTCATTTTTCATGGAATGTTTGGTATGTGCCTTGATGATTCTTATATAATTCAGTGTCATGGCCTCACGTTTATGACTACATTTTTTATCTATAATTTTAAATGAAATATGGATGAATGTTTCACCAAGAAACACGTGTTTGTGTAGGAAGATGTCAACTCATCAACGGATTTATTCAAGCCGTAACTTTTATCGCAACTCCACAAACAACAAAAATTGTGTGCATGAAAATTAATAAATTTGTGATGAATTGTAATAAAATAAGTTGTGATTTGTGATAAATCAGTGTCGTTAGGATAAATTACAAGTTATATTTGGCTGATTTCATTAAAATGTATACTACTAGTAATATATTGGGATTGTACATTTTGTGTCAAAACTAGAGATATTTCTGCAATCCTGTGATTCTGTGTGGATATCATATTCTAAGAGTTGCTAAGGAATCTAAAAAAGATATTTAGAATCCTATTGATGAATTAAATTCCCAGGGGACGAGTCATACGATAGTAAACACAGACTATCAAAGGCATAAGCACTCCTACCCCAACTATCAAATTCGAAGGATGGACATCGATACAGTTTTTTTTAATTTCAAGTTGCCTGAAATATGTTCTCCAAATTGGTTATCAGCTCTTAGGCTATAAGTCTCATAGCTTTTTTCTTCAGTCAAGTAGTGGTGTACTGAACTGTTGAGGCTATAATTAATGTAAAGTCTGTTATAGAATTTGGCATCTCGACCATCTACTTTTATTTTCACTACATATTTCAGAATGTCAATAAATCTTCTCATTAGTTAACCTTTCAGTCATCCTAATATTGAGAATAATCTATTATTACACATACGATGTTTGCCATATTGAGTTTTTCGTTTTTTTTTTGTTTAACTTGAGTTTAAAACATAAACTGTTTCCTGTATTTCACTTCCCTCGTACCTCCTCAGGTTAGAACACTTTTTTCAAATTTCGATTGTTTATTTCTGTTCAGTTCATTATCTGATCAGGTATACTGAAATGGATAACAACAAAACCAGTACCTGAAGGACAAAACACTGTTTTTATAGAAAGTGCAACGAGTAATTCCAGTATACTACACCATTGTATTGTTATTTTTCAACTTATTCGTATTTGAAATAAATCCAATGAGCTCAGACCATCTTTTACATGAATGTTTCAAATGAGACTAGGTTGCTGGTATTAATTCCCGTTAATTCAGACAAAGATTTTCTTTCTTCAAATAATTTATTTGTTTGAGAGATGGTTGTTGAGCAGATAAATTCACCAAACCATCTAAAGGAACAATTTGTTCAGGCCAGTCTCAATTCCCTACACTGTAGGTTGATGGATCGAAACCTATCAGAAAACAACTACTCCCCTGGCTAATATCACGAAGGGCGTTGCATTATATCCGACAGGTCTCAGTGCAGGATTCTTCAGTGAAGTTATTCCTGCATACGCTGTTGGCGATACAACTGCCGCAATAGATTTTCAATTATCGGAACACACTTGCAGACCGGTTTCGGCTGTTTGGCCACTCGTCAGTGCAAGGTAGTGTCTATCATCAACATAAAGTCGATGATTTCCGATAATTGAAAATCGAATTCCTTCAGAGTATCTTTCCTCGAACTAGGCTGAAGCGGACAACAAACAACAGATTTGTCATCGCCCCATCTGCCTGTGAACGAGGTAACCAACCGTATATCCAAAATTTGCCCAATTCCTCGTATAAGGAAAAAACTTCACATATAGTCAGTGAGCATACTTGAAGACTGGCTATAAGTCAAACCATCAAAAGGAACAATTAAATTGTTCCTTTAGATGGTTTGATTTATAGCCCACTGACTATATGTGGTGAAGTTAAATTTACTATAATAGAGCGATTTTCGTCATTTTCCACAAGTTGAATTCGGTATATTGGCATTGAATCAGTTACGTTTCCAAAGGAAAGGTATTTTGTAGACGATCCTGGG